TAACTCGGTGAAAAAAAATCGCACATTGCTGACCGAGTGCTGATATTAAAGCTAAAGATTTACGCTTTCGAACGATGTAAACCTCATTTGCGTGCGATTTTTAGTTTTTGGAACTTCGCAAACTTGGTAAACAATTTTTAGATTTGATGCATCTCCATTTGCATCCGTGCAGCTTTGTAAAGAATCAGTAAGTAATTTAATGAATTATGGATGTATCGAAAGTAGAGACTTTAAGCTTTAAAATGCTTTTTTGATCATTCCGATACGATCATTTTTGACGAAGTTACACTTTCTTGAAATTTGCCTATTTTTAGTGATCAGAATGGGTGATGCTTTAATTTTGCTGTCGAGTGTATATATTAAATTTATAAAAATTTCTGAAAATAAAATAAAATTCTTAAAATACCGGATATTATAAAAACTTTTTTTATTAATAATTTCATCAGTATAAAAATTTTCCTGAAAATAAGTAAACGAATATGTGACGAGTCGCCTCGCCATGAATCAATACACTTGTAGATCCATGTATGTATATACATATACATACGTGACGTCGTGATCTCAGCCGTGCCATAAAGCCCGTATCAGACTAAAGATTGTGATTGAGATTGAATTGGGATTTAACCAATTAGAAGAAAGAAAACCAATCTCAAATTTAGTGAACTTTGTTTTAATTGGTCAAATTCCATTACAATCTCAATCTCAATCTTTAGTCTGATACGGGCTTAAGTCACAGCCAAAGAAATTATGTCACGGCTCGCATTCGCATAACGACGCCGACGTAACCTGTTGCGCGAACAAACCTAACCTCACGTTACATAATCGAGCAGCGGCTGTCATAATAACTCGAACTTTTCCGCCGTTCGTTTCGTCCAGTTTCATCTTGCAGTTTCCGAGTGAACGAGTCGACAACTAATAATCAATCGTGCGGGATAGTCTCGATCACGATCGGAAGAGAGCCAATCTTAAAGCAGTCGCCGTCGAATCTTCCCGCTCGTCTCGCCGTGGTCCGATTCCGGCGCGTCCCGGCACTTCCGGCCGGGCGGAACGCGCGGGGGAACGCGCGGAACCGGCGCGGAACGGAGCGCGCCCCCCGGCGATTTACAGTCATAAACTGCGGTGTCGCGCGGCCGTGTGTATGGCACGGTTATATATACGTATGTATATATACTTATCGCGGGAGCATGGTTTTATTATGATTTTTGAGCGCCAGGTGGCCGCGTTTTTGTTGTCGATCTGCCGTCGGCGGCGCGGCGCGGCGCGGCGCGGCTCCCTCAGCCAGCGCCATTACATCGATAAATGTCACCGCGGCGGCCGCCGTCAGCAGCGTGAAAAACGCCGCCGTCCGCGCCGAGTGCCGTCCACCTGGTCCCTACCGCCCGCGTAAGTAGTGGAGGAGGTGGTGAGAGGTACGACGGTGGGAAAGAGGATTGCGCGCGCGACGCACGCCCGCTGCCTGGTATCCAGGAGACGCAACGCACGCACGCACGGCCGCCACGCGTTCCTCAGGTCGCGCGAGTGGAGTCACGGGTACAGCGACATGTCGTCGACCAAGCGGAAAAACGCGAGCAAGGCGAAGAACCGCCCCAAGATGCGCAAGGTGGAGTACGACGAGGAGGACATTTCCAGCGAGCACGAGTCGGAGGTGGACGACGCCGAGGCCGGCTCGAACGCCGACGGCGAGGACGCCGCGGCCGACGACGCGCTCACGGACGTCTCGAGCATGCCCGAGCTGCCGGCTCCGGAGGTGATACCTCGTTCCCTCCTCCCCCCCCCTCTCCGCCCCTCCCCTTTTCTCTCCCCATCTCCCCCCTCCCCTGTCCCCGCATCCGCGCGGCGACGACGCGACCGGGGTCCCGGGACGCGACGCGGACGGTCGTGCGGCTCCGGACGAGAGCCGATATTGTCCCGATATTTAACGACTCGCGTCGATTGTCTCGTTATTATCGTTCGAATATATCGAAATGCGAATATTTAAGCAAGAATTAATGCGTGCGAGATATCCAGGTGCGTTGTTGACACCTAAGCTGTACCTCAGCCCCGTCGCGATCGGTGTTGTCTTCTGTTCCTTTGTACTTACATTCGCTCCGTAAACTTCTACTTAAAGTGAAGTTGAAGGATCTGTAAAACGAATGGAAGGAAATTTAATCTTTTGATCAGCAGTCCGCCTTGCGGTTTGCCTTACTTATGAGATCTTAAATTTCGTTTATTTACCAAATTTTTATCCGTCGCTTGTAGCTCTTTATTAAATTTCGCGTTTATTTGACAAATTTCATCCTATTGTTTGTGGCTCTTTTGTTAAAATTTTCGTTTATTGCAAAATTATGTTGAGCTTTATATGCAGGAAACGAATGAGATGCGTTAAACGCGACGAGAGTATAATTTGTGAGACCTGTTTTTTGTATTTTAGGGTGGCTGGGGCAAGCCTGGAACATTGCTCATGTGTGGCCTTACTAATTGGGAAATGGCTGGTCGCAAGGCACCGCCTAAAGGAGTGAAAGCGAACGTCGGACGTAGCCTGTGGACGCCGCACACCTTTAAAAACTTGAACGACGCGAGAGTGCGACTAATCGCATCCGGCCCCGCCGCATCCCACAGCATTGTCGTCACCGAGGATAATAAATGCCTGGCTTTTGGTAGAAACGACAAAGGTAAGCGGTAACTGACATATCGTACATAATTAACATAATTGTTGTTTTCTTCTCTCTCTCTCTCTCTCTCTCTCTCTCTCTCTCTCTCTCNCTCTCTCACACACACACACACACACACACACACACACACACATACACACACACACATACACACTTATTGAAATATAGATTTTCAAGACGGGCCATTGTTCATTTCGCACCTCCATCATAAACCTCTGATCAATTTATAAAACCCGATGGTGTACATGGATCGAGGGTCGGCATAGAATTCGAAATCTACCGATGAGTCGAGCGTTTTTATGCAAAGTCACGCGTCGCGCTCCGTGTCACAATTACTTAATTTTATTTAAAAATTAACACTTACAAGTCCCATGGATTTCACACTGACACACAGGATGATGTCTCAACAAAAGCTTTATATTCAGCTAGTCGTCGTAGAAACGTTACCAATCTGACCGATATATATATATATATATATTAGCATCCAATTGTATTTAAATTTGCGTATATTGCGTCGTTTATTTGTATATTCTGTCGACTTGGTATTGCCGACCTGCTGATGAACGAACAATTTGCACAGGTCAATTGGGCGTCGGAGACACGAAGCGTCGCGACGAGCCCACCGAGGTCGAGGCCTTGAAGGGACACACGGTCATTGGGGCGTGGTGCGGGCGTAACCATACCCTATTTCTGACGAGTCGCGGAATAGTTTTTGCCGCTGGCGACAATAAACTGGGCCAATGTGGGGTCGGCAAGAACGACCCCTGCGTCGTGACCGCCACCAAAGTAAAGTACACCGGACCGCCGATCGTGAAGGTGGGATGCGGCGCGGAGTTCTCGATGCTCCTGGACATCAAGGGCGGCCTGCACTCGTTCGGCTGCCCGGAGTACGGCGCTCTGGGCCACAACACCGACGGCAAATACTTCATCACGAACACGAAGATGGCATTTCATTACGAGAAAGTGCCTAAGCGAATCGTCTTGTACGTCGAGAGGGGTAAGGATGGCCACGCGACGCCGTTGGACCGCGTTGAGATCACGGACTTCAGCTGCGGTCACTATCACACGGTCGCGATCGACAGCAAGAATCGTGCGTTCTCCTGGGGATTCGGCGGGATCGGCCGTCTTGGCCACAACGAGCAGCGCGACGAGCTGGTGCCGCGTCTGATCAAATTTCTCGAGCCGCCCAGCCGCGGCGTTCGCGCGGTGCACTGCGGCAGCACGTACAGCATCGCGATCAACGTGCACGGCTCCGCCCTGATGTTCGGTCAAACTAAGCGCACCGGCGAGGCCAACATGTATCCCAAGCCGATCCAGGATCTGTCCGGTTGGGAGATTCGATGCGTCGGTTGTTCACAAACGAGCGTGGTAGTCGCGGCCGATGACTCCGTGATCGCGTGGGGCGCCAGTCCCACATTCGGAGAATTGGTAAGATGTTGGTATTTTAAAAGTATATATAAGTAGGATATCTCAATTTTTCTTCTTCGAGATAGAACTGCACAACTTAAATCGGACCTTGTCATCCAGTACGAAAGCGCTGCAATTTTACACAAGTCTTATCTCCCTCATTAATTTATAACTACAATATTTAATGCAATGAGAAACCTACATTTGGAAGAATCAGACTTATTTTAAAGCTTAATACGTTGTTATTTAAAAGCTTCTGTTCACTGAAGGACAGCATTGTAATTAATTTGAGATTAAGTTCATGTTTGTACTGTTTCTATCAAAGTGGAATATCTTCCCACCCAAAATTCCTAATGTTAATATAAATTACACGCGGGATAGCAATTCTGGAAATCAAAATCAGATCTTTTGCTTGATAAGGAACTGCTCTATCGAGTATCGAGTTTTCCCAGCATCCCAAAATCAAATCACCCTAGTAATAATTTTCTAAGATGTAATTTGCTTTTTCCTTAGGGTTTCGGTGAAATGCGAAAGTCGTCGACGACTCCGATGGAGGTGAAAGCCTTGGAAGGTTTATACATTACTGCCGTTACATGTGGTCTGTCTCATACGCTTATGATCTGCCGGGACGATACCGAGGAGGAGAGGGCCAAGATTAATAAGCTACAAGTGTACTCTGTTTAAAGTATATTCTTCGACTGCGTAAAAAGAAGGGTCTCTATTACGTCACTCTGCAGATGATCGAGAATCGGAAAAGGAATTTTTCGTTCCTTCGACGAGAATTACAATTATACGTTTTGATGAATTTTAAATGAAGTATCCGAGAGACCGGTAATAATAGATCGTCAGGAAACGTCCAGAAGAGATATAGGATTAGATATTACTCTACTTTGTACTTCCAGTTTTTACTTAACGCGCGAATGAAAGTCGATCTGTGTAACACTTTGAAACTCCATTCTGTTAGCAGCTCAGGATAATAGACCAAACAAGATAGATGCAAAACAAATATATTTTGATACGTTGCTATTTTATTGAAGTTTGCCGTGATTTTCATCGGAATGGCGGTCGTTATTCGAATGAGAAAGCTGAAGGGAACTGGAAAGAGAACTTGTAGAGCTCAGCAGTAACTGCCTTTATTTTTATCGCTTTCTTAATCGATTTACCTATTCAAATAGTTTATATTATATATCATTGATTCATCATCACAGTAGTACCTGAATCATTACATCTGCAGGAATCGTTTTTTACAATGCATATATAGGGATAATCCCTGGAATAGGATTAACGCGAGTGAGCCATCATTCAACTGGGACTGCGTTCCATTTAACGCTCGCAACGCTCGCGAGCGTTACTTATCCTTGTTTCAACATTTGATAAACAACAAGGATGAAACGATTCCAAGAGCGTTGCGAGCGATAAACGGAACGCACCCTAGGTAATATTATAACGGTTGTACGTGGAATTAAATTTCGTGTTTTATTAACTTCAAATGAAAATAATTTAATAATTTTTTTTTTAATGTAAAACGTCGCTCATGTGAAAAGCACGTGTATTTAATTTTATTTCTAATACAATAAATATAGAGATTTTTACATATACATAAAAAAATTAATTTTACTGAATATATATTGCAAGGTAATAAAAAAAAGAGCTGTGGAAGTCATATTTTTTTTTTTTTTTGCTAGATTGAAAAGAGAATCCGTCAAATTCAGGCGACTGACTATACGTATTTCACATTTTATGGTCTTTCTTTCAAGGTAAATCATATAACACACGTTTCTCATACATATATATATATTATACGTAGATACGTTAACAATGTTTGGTCGGGTACACAATAAAATATGAGAAAATGAATCAGAGAGTGTATTTAGTACCTCTGTGTACTAACGAACTTACAAAGAACTCCGATCACTGCCAGGATGTATTACGAACATCTTTCATTGTGATGTCAGACATTCATTCCATTCCGTTCCATGTAATACTCTCGTGCGATTTCTGCACTGAAATATTTTTCTGATAAACTTGCGATGAATGTACAAGTCCAAATATGAAATAAACGAATTTTTTAAGAAATCTCCATCGAAATTCCACTGTCCTATCTAGCAACTTTTAAAAAATTTTTTAAAGCTCTTCATCGTTCGGTGCTTCATCGCTTCTTACAAATTTAATTTTTGCCTGCGATAAATGCCGATATCGGTACTTTTGTACATTTCCAATATCGCTCTTTGACGCGATATAATTTCTGCCGTTCTAAACGCACGTCACAAGCGGTACCTTTCACGGCAGTTTTATTTGAGCATCTAATGGCGTTTTCTTCGCATTTACGTTCTTGCTATAGTTAGCAAAATTATATATTTTAAAAATTAAAAATGATGCTTTTTTAATATGGTCAAATTTCACATTTTACTGGTACATTATATATTATTGAAGAATGTCAAATGTAATTTTTACCATAAGCTTTTGATCCGTCATTATCATGACAGAGGCGATAAATCGTTGAGCATCATGTATTTCTTCTTGTGGCACATTTTCATACTTCCAACGCAGCAATTGGTGGGCTATGTAATGTTTAGGATCTGATGGCCAATATCTCAGAGCTCTGCTTATCGCCCACGATAGTGGCACCATTACATTTTGTCTATATAAGGTAAACGTACCAATGACTGAACATGTATCTATATCGGAACACCAAAAACTTATTTTTAAATGCTTTTTTCATAATATTCTATTCAATTGTAATTTGTAAATATCTTTACAATTAAATTTTGATATAATAAAAAAAGCATTTGAGATTAATAAATTTTGTGTACGTGTTCAGATATAAATACACATGTTTAGTTACTGATACGTTTACCTTATACATTCAGACACATAACATTATACAATTTATTACACATTATCGTGCTTATTTCATGCAAATTCATAAATACAAATTGTAAAATGCCGTAAAATACCTCAAATAATCGTTTCTCTTCAGAATTTCACTAGCTTTTTTCGGCAATAAATTCAAATAGCAAGTCCACATGGTAGAATTGTATTGCAAGCTTGTGGTAGAAGGAGTACTTGAAAGAGTCGTATTTAAACAAGAACATGATGTCCTCAATGAATTCTTGGATGCAGTGTCAGTCGATTTTCCTTCCAGGAAAGTAGAGCGTGACTCCAATATAGTTAAATCGCATTCACATAATACTTCCTGTCGATTATTTCAATTTCACGATAGATTACTCGTTCTCTATGGCATAACGTGTGCGTTTTATCTAAAATATCCCTTGAAATCAATTAAGACACCTCGGTTACTTTCGAAGCTTCATTTTTCTTGTATTCGTTATACCCAAGATCAATTAGAATGTCTTCAACTTCATCATCGATGCCGTTCTCTTCTACGTAATTGCAAGTGCCTTCGTCCATCCCGAGCCTTTTCAGAAAACGGATTATCGTTGGTGAAGCTGGCTCGACCTTTCCCCGCCAGTTCAGAATTCCTGGAACATCGATGCCACTCGATAAAAGCTGACGCAATGTACTTCGGTCTTGTGACACCAGTCCGCACGTGACGGTAGCCCAGCACTGATCTTCAGTTAATCCAGCAGCAGCCAGATTCCAGATCAATTTCTCGTCAAGCTTCTTCGTCCGCGTATCCGCGTTTGTTTCCGTTCCGAAGCTTCGAAAATATTTCAGTTCCTCGGAAGCGAGCCCGAGGAGACCGTATTTCATTGCCCTCATGATACTGCGTGGTGACATGCCTAAAATTTGCTATTCAATGAAATTCAATAAATAACGAAAAAGTGCACAGAATTTTTCACGGAAAAAATCTCGATACCTTTTCCTTCTAATTCCAATAAGATACATTCATTGTATATTCCACTGTGGATGATAAAATGTAACGATTTATCATCGCATCGCGCGTCAGTACACGCGGATAAAAACTCAACATTGTCACGCCGCACAAGTTTGTCCCTCAGCAAACCGAGTAATCTTTCATTGCTCCATCCACCGTAGATGTGCATTCCTTTATTTGTCAATTTTATATGCAGCTTTGTCTCATGTAACGCTTCTTCGTCCGTTATATCTTGAGTATCTGACATTTTCAGAGAGACGCGAATATGTAAGATACTTTTTTTTTAAGTTATTTTACGAAGATAATCACAAACGTCAAAATGCAAGCTAAATTATTTAGGCAATTGTTATGAATTGGTTATCGTTCGTCGCGTGACAGCTTTTTCTTATATTAAAATAATAATATCACATATTCCGGAAAATGTTTTTTTTTTATTTATGTACAAATAAATAATGTGTAAATTTATATAGAATATCTCGGAATTCGCGCTCACGGTATGTATACCGTGTGACTCTCTGTGCTGAAAGAAACAACTTTTCCGCTGGCAAAATTGTATTCGAGCAGTAGTTTTTAAATAGGCAATTTAAAGCTGTGAATAAGCCTTCTAAATTACGCATTATGAATCAATGATGAGACATATATCGCTGAACGTATACACAATGGTGAAACATATACCGCTGAACGTATACGCTGTTTTATCATTAAGATTTCATAAGAACTGATGCATGATATTTAAATATCGCTAGATAGAATACGATTTAATTACAATTTTTTAATTCTATCATATTAAAATAAAATAATAACAATATTAATTTGAATTAGACCGTAGATGAAAACACAAATAAATTTGAAAGCGCTTTCTACAGTTGGATCTTGGTGCCTAATAAATTCTATATGAATTTTTATATGCATTATTCATAATCAGTCATTCAAACTGCATTGCTGAATCAATGTCGGACTTGCAGTCACTAGCTGAAGCTGGAATAGCTGGAATAGCAAAATGACAATTGATTTTCAATTCGTAATAAATCTTATAAGCATCTTAAAATACTAAAATCTTATCCAGAGTAAATATATGTATACAAAAGAAAGGCCTGCATCTCTCGAGTATGTACATACTTTAAAGCATTTAATCAGCCTTATTCATATCTTTAGAAAGCGTGAAACATTTTGTATCTGACCTACTTGTCTAATCTACTTATTTTATACTTTCAACTGTTGCTTATTAAGTAAGTTGTATTCTAAATAGCGATACTTGGATGTCGATATATTTTAGATATCATAGTTCAGTTATTATGAAATCTTTAGAGAAACAGTAAAATAGCGTAACGTTTAGCGCGCAATGCTTTATTCGTTAATTTATAGAGCGCTCTTCGTCAAATTTTGCTATATTATTGCTCGAATGTAATTTTGCCAGAGAACAAAGTTGCTTCGTCTGGCAAGAAAATCGCATTCTGTGTGTACACAAATTCTGCAATACACTATATATCACTAACACATATAGTTATATTGTAATCTCTATAAAATATATACTCACCGTTTTTTCTCGGTGCAGTATATATTTCCGATAAGAGACACACATCATATAGAGAACTTAGAAATTAGTACGTAACCGACGAAATAACATCCTTAGGTACATTTTTACAGTATAATACATTTTTTCAGATGTAACAACGATATGCGTCAAGCGCACGTATATGTGCAAAATATAAAACGACAAACAGAATCGAAAAGACTATAAAAGTGTTCGAATTCACCTTAATTATTACAAAAACTTGATCGACGTAACTCTACTCGACTACAGTCCATACAAATGTCTTATTGAGTGTGTCTGTGAGCGTTTCTTTTAGTATTTGTTAATCTGTATTTACACGAACACAAAATTTTGCTCGACATCTCTATGCCAGATTCAACTTATTGTTAGTCGACCAACGATAGTTTTGTACATTTTAGATGTGTACGTGATATAAGCAAGTACATGCCTCATCTTTGGACAAGTTTTCGCACAATCTGAATATATAGCCTGTATAATATGAAGTGCGGTGAACTGTTACGTTTGACCCTTTCTGTATTACATGCAATGCCCCTTCTCGCACCAGATTTTCAAACTTAACACATAATGGTGCACTATTGTTGCTGGCACAAGCACTTTTCACAGTTGATTACAGCAAACTGCAGTAACAGTTTGAATATGCATCCTGCTGTTGAGGATCGTTGGTCAACTGCATTCCTCTCTTTCCCATTCGATGCCTCGCACCACCCATAGTACCGTTGTCATACAATCGTGTCGAGTGAGTGTCCCAAAGACCAGGCGTTTGTATTATCTGTTACAAGCAACATCATATTTTTTACATAGCGTCGTAAATAAATAAAAATGTCAATTCTAAATGCGATTTTTAATTATAATACAATGTTTACTAAAACGTGTATCAATAGGTCTGTCCTTTGCACTCAAAAAAAATGACATAGTGGCAACTATGATACATGTTTTATATGTAGAAATACATAATTGAATAAACTCTATTTTATACTTATAATTACTAACCATTTTGTATAATTAATAAATATACAGGGTGTCCCAAAATTCGCGAATTAAAATATCATAGCAAGAAAGTCTTCGAAAAATTAAGTAAAAAAAGTTATTTGTTATCTTAAGCAATAGTTTTTAAGATATAAGGGCTGTCTCTTATACACATCTCTGAGCGGGCTGGCAAGG